AATACAAAAAGATTTACCTTAAAGGTATTTAAAGGTTTACCTTAAAAAAAAAGCTGACCCTTGACTAAACAGGCCCTCTTAAGCCATGACTTCTCCAGCTGGAGAAAAGCAGACCGGTCCCAAATCAACAGTTAGTGGCAGCTTCTATCAACAGCAGTAAAGAACAGCTCCGATAAGGCACACATTGTTGAGGTGATAAAAGAGGGTTAGAGAACAAGCCTCACCTTTGAGTTACACTTGGCAGAGTCTGCCACTCATTCACCTCTATTCTTTCCTTCTTTCAGTCGTGGGGGGATAAAGGAGGGCAGTTAGATCCTGGTGCCCCATCAAAACCTCCGGACTCCAGAGCTTCACTCCTCTTGTGAAAGAGTCAAGAGCAGTTTTAATTAATCCTCTGTGGTCTGAGGGCGTCTTCTCACTTTGTGCATATCTTCTTAAATTCTCCTTTAAAGGCTCTTTATTTAACATGATACTCGTATGTTTCATATCAAAATGCTCTGTTATCTTCATCACTACTTTCCAAAACCACTTCAGCAACTTCAGCAGCTGTAAACTCTCTGCATGCCATTTCACATGTGTCTCTGATGTGGACTGAATGAAGAATGAAGGGTTTCCGGCATGATGGGTCAGTCCTTAGAGATTTCCTGAGTGTTCATTGGTCAGTTTCACACAAAATGTAGACAGACACACGAATCCACCAGTTCTAAACGGTGAGAGGCAGATGACGTGTATCTCAGTCCCTCTTCATAGCTTCATAACTCCAGATGTGAGTCATGTAGGATGTTATGATAAGATGGAATGGAAACGGCGACTCTACAGATTCAGGACATGTTTGAACTGGATTTCTGTGCTGGATTATTGCAAAGAGAAACAGATATAGAAACACTGGATTTGATGTGTGGGTGAGTTTGTGGACGCCAGAGGGTTAATCATCAATACTGAACAAAAGGTATGTTTGGCAGTGAAGAAGCTCTCAAGTTCATAATGACACAAATGACCAAATGTCTTGAATGTAGTCCGGCAAAAATGACTACTAAAATTACAAAAGGCTTCTCGTGCATGTGAGAGTCCATCCAAAACCTGTCTTGATTACTGCATGAAAGTCGAGAGCCATTTCAATTAAACTCTTCTTACTTCAGTGCTCAATCAAAGATAAGTTAGTTGTGGAAATGAAGTAGAGAAGAAAAGAACAGCTGCTAAGAGAACTTACTTACACTTACAGCACTTTCTCACATAATTTTTCTCCTTTCTTTCCTCTAGCCACATTTTAACTGGACGTTGAGGCTGCCATTGCAACTGTCTGCACTTCCTAGTGAATGGAAACAAATGGTCAACTATTTTAAATGTACTTGCTACCTAATAAAAGGAAAAATGACTAGTTATAAAAGACTTTTCATGTACGTTGTGCCTGCAATTGCCAGGCAAACCTTGAGAGTTTTTTCCACCACCCTACCTCCATAAAGGTCAAGAGTCATCTCGATTAAACTCATATAGTTACTTTAATAGTGAATGGAAGTGAGTTGGTGAAGAACAATTTGAGGAGAGAGTTTCTAAGGGCAAAGAGCTTTTATTTATTGTTTGTTTATTTATTTATTTATTTGAGCTTCTTTTAGATGTTAACTGGACATTGAGGTTGAAAATAAGGTACTTGCTCCATAGTAATTCCAAAGACTATGAAGTTATGAAGTTTAAAGACGTTTTTATGCACAAAAACCACAAAACACATCACGTCATAGCATTTATGAAATACTTCATTCCTAAATCCATACCAACAAAAGATATTTTGATGAAAGCTAAACAAACCCAAGGATCAGCACATACAGTTGTATGCAAAAGTCTAGGCGCCCCTAGTCAAATTATGTGTAATTACGTGAACACATGCTCCGCAGAGGACACAGTGCTGCACATCTTAAGGCATGATTACTGTTTATTTACTTAATTTGACATTCATACATACATACATCATCTAAACCGCTTATCCTTCTGGGTCGCGGTGGGGTGCTGGAGCCTATCCCAGCTGTCATTGGGCGGAAGGCAGGATACACCTTGGACAGGTCGCCAGTCCATCGCAGGGCAGACAGACAGACATACACATTCACACACACACTCACACCTAGGGGCAATTTAGCATGTCCAATTGGCCTGACTGCATGTCTTTGGACTGTGGAAGGAAACCGGAGTACCTGGCGGAAACCCACGCAGACACGGGGAGAACATGCAAACTCCACACAGAAATGACCCTGAACACACGCTCTGCAGAGGACACAGTGCTGCACATCTTAATGCATGATTACTGTTTATTTACTGAATTTGACATATTAAGGAGAAAAATTAAAACTTAAATTGTGGCCTGTGCAAAAGTTATGGCACATTTGGTATTTTACATATTTTTTCTAATATGTTAAATGCAGAAATTAAATAGAGATTGTGCCATTCAGCTCTCTGTGGAGGATGTGCTAACTGATTTTCACTTAGAACATCAAAACACTTTGCATAGGACTGAACGATGTGGCACAAATATAATATCACAACACTTGAAGATATCTTCACGATATGCAATATGATTTTTCTGAGATTTCATATATATATTTCAATTAAGCTTCCACTTCCATCTAATTATGCAAAGTCTGATTTATTTGGCTATTTTAAGACATGAACCTGATGTTGAAGCTGCAAATTGTGTGCACAATTTCTAAGCGAATTAAAACGAATGCCCAGTCATCTACCCAATGTCTGCTATCCAGTCAAAACAAAATAACTATTAACATTATGAAAGCCTTTTTAGTCCAGTCAAGTGTGCTAGTGTCCATCTAAACCCATCTCAAGAGTGTTCTCCTTACCTCATTGACATTAAAAAGGTGCATAAGAGCTAAAGCCTGGTTGCCCAGACAGGGAGTAAGCCTAGTCCCGGAATACAAGGATTCTGAATGGAGATTCCCCAAGAAAAGCAAAGAGTAGTCTACGACATAAAGGGAATTCCACCAGTTTTTCCAAATTTCTCTGTATTTTCATTGATAAGTTGTGAATAAAGCCCTTCAGGGTGGTGGGTCAGAATTGCACACTGTGGTGGTGATAGGAACCAGACATCCACCTCTAAGCGCTCCCTCACAGAAAGTTACACAAAATGGGTTCTGCATATGTTGGGCTTTGGCATAAAACACACTAGCGTTGCTTACAGTGAACTGTGTGTACAGTGTGGCTGTGGCCCACTACAGCTCATTATTAAAGCACAAGGCTTGTGCATAAGCCATGTCTCTTTAAAAATCCATTCATGGTGGAGGGATACATTCAGGGAGTTATGAGGCAAAATAGTCCCCAAAATAAATTTGGATAGTAAATAAAATCTTTATTTGTGTTGTAGTCATGATGACCCCTGGTTCCAATCACTACCGCTGTAAAGAAATCGGAACCATTTCACACCAAAGCACTCTGAATCATCCTGTTTACACCTCAAACACTCAATTATGCAAAAATGTACAAAAAAGATGGAATTCCTCTTTGATCTCTGTCTGGGAAACTGACCCTAAGAGCCAGGTAAATTGGTGGTGAAGAGGTTGGAGATTAATTTAGACAGGAAGCTGCTGAGGGCAAAGTGCTTTTCCTTTTTTGTGCAGTATTTGTCCTGAAACCTGCAGTTCACTGGGCACAATTTCGTAGTGAAAAGAAATCAATCACCAAATACACTCACAGCCTATTAATGGAAACATGAATATGCAAATCAATGTTACTGAGAATGTTCATTGTAAAGCTCCTGTAAAATAATATTTATGGAAGTTATGCATGTTAACTGCGAGTTTTCTGTACCGCAGCGTGCTGGAGGCGGATGGTCGGTTTGTGTTTGTCCAACTTGTCATCAAAGTCGTGTTTGCATTTCAGTTCAAGTGTTTTTTAAAAAGCAGTCAGTTTTACAGAGTGCGTAAGTGATGTGAGTGTGTGACACGGTTCAGAGGTGAGCACATCAGCAGCCACATGAATACACTCATTCTACCATCAGAGAGACGGACCCTCCTACTGGACCCCTAAACACACACACACACACGGATTCAGTTTAAAGCCAAAGGTAATTTCCACATCCTACCTGCTATAATAGAGCTGAGACTGAACAAACGAGCTCATTCAGAGAGAAACAGAGAGAGAGAGAGAGAGAGAGAGAGAGAGAGAGAGAGGGAGAGAGACAGACAGACAGAGAGAGGGAGAATGAGAGTGAGTGAGAGAGAGAGAGAGAGAGAGAGACAGAGAGACAGACAGTGAGAGAGAGAGAGAGAGTGAGTGAGAGAGACTGCAGAAGAGAATGAGAGCGAAAAGCAGAGAGAAAAAAGAGAGGTGCAGACACAAATACACAGAGATAGACAGACAGATAGACAGACAGGTGAAAGAAAGAAAGAAAGAACGTCAGACAGTGAGAGAGAAGGAGCAAGAGTGAGAGAGACATGCAGAAGAGAATGAGAGCGAAAAGCAGAGATAGAAAAAAGAGAGGTGCAGACACAAATACAGAGAGATAGACAGACAGGGGAAAGAAAGAAAGAACGAAAAAAGAAAGAAAGAAAGAAAGAAAGAAAGAAAGAAAGAAAGAAAGGAGACAGTCATATAGACACAAAATATAATAGATAGATAGATAGATAGATAGATAGATAGATAGATAGATAGATAGATAGATAGAGTAGAAGAAAGAAAGAAAGAAAGAAAGAAAGAAAGAAAGAAAGAAAGAAAGAAAGAAAGAGACAGCCACACAGAAAATAACAGAAAGAGACAGATAGACAGATAGATAGGATAAAAGAAAGAAAGAAAGAAAGAAAGAAAGAAAAAGAGGGAGGTTTAGACAGACAGAGCACGCGGGACAGTTTCCACACCGCGCGTGCAGTAAAGTCTGTGAACGGATCTAGTCGGGCTGAGATGTAAATTATGTAAATGAGTGTGAACTGAACTGAACTCTGCTGAACTGAACTGAGTGAACTGAACGGAGTGGACCGAACTGAGTTCAGTGAACTGAGCGGACTCACCGTTCTGCTCCTTCACCTCGCCGTGCTGCAGTTTGGTGATGAGAGCGGATTCAGCCCAGCAGCTCTGCAGGAAAGACCACAGCAGGCAGAGGAGCAGGAGAGGAGGCATTTGGCTGGGAGTTAGCAGCAGATGCTAACGCTGTGGAGAAGCTGTTCAGTCAGGTGAGCCCTCAGCCGTTCCTCACCACACAGGTATCCGGATCCGGACACTCCAGCACGCCGAGTAGAAACCTCATAGTCCCCGCAGACGCACAGGACGCAGCTCAGGAGACACTGCGCGTCAGAAAGCGAGGAAAGTCGCTCTGAGCGCACCTGCCCACCTTCTGAACTTTTACTCTTCTGACTCGGTTCCTCCGCAGCTCAGAAACAACCAACAGTCCTCACTCCAACACTTACAGCCTGAGCTCCACCGCTGCCCTCCACAGCTCAGGGCAGTCTTCTCGGAAAGCTCTGGAAAGCGCTGCTCTCCTGAGTGTTTCTGACTTTCTCTGCAACTCGCAGCCAAACACGGTCCATGCGCGAGTTGCTGGAGCTCTGCATGCTTTCTGGAGGAGAAACAGAGACTTTGAGTAGCAGTTTCAGTAGCAAGTGGAGGAAAAAAAAAAGCCCAAACGCGAAGAGAGTGTCGCTCTGGAGCTGCAGAGTGGAGCCTGGAAGGAGTTGAGAGGGTTGAGTTTGTGGAGTGACCACCCAACAGGTGCTGTACTGAAAGGAAACTCAGCAGGGGCTGAAAAAAAAGAAAGAAAGAAGAAAAAACCTCCCCAGAAAGGCGGAGACCTCAGAGAAGCTGCTCCATTCTACACGAATCAAGTCCAGTCTTTGACTAGATTCCAGGTTTAATGGAGTTTCACATATAAAATCATAATAACCAGCTCCATTTATTCATTTATACATTATATAAGTGTGATTTGTACACTCTTAAAAAAATGGTTCTTCAAGAAAGCTGTTCTGTATAGAACCATGAACACTCAAAGAAACCTTTGCATGATTAAAAGTTTCTTCAGATTGATGGAAAATGTGCTGTAGATGGTTCTATATAGAACCTTCTTGAAAAATACCCTAAATAGCACCAAAAAGGCTTCTTAAGTGTGATTTGTACACTCTTAAAAAGAAGGTTCTTCAAGGGTTCTTTAGTAAAGAAAGTTGTTCTATATAGGACCATGTACACTCAAAGAACCCTTTGCATGATTAAAGAGTTCTTTAGATTGATGGAGAATGTGCTGTAGATGGTTCTATATAGAACCTTATTGAAAAGGGCTCTAAATAGCACCAAAAAGAGTTCTTCTATTTTTATAAGCTTAATATCATAACAATAGAAGAACCCTTTTGGATGCTATAGAACCCATTTCAAAAAGGTTCTATATAGAACCATATACAGCACATTCTTAAGAACCCTTTCACAATGCAGAGAACTCTTTATTCATGGTTCTTTGAGTGTTTATGGTTCTTTATAGAGTGATTTTCTTTAGTAAAGAACCCTTGAAGAATAATTTTTATGAGTGTTTTCCTTGAGTATTTTCTATTCTTTTTAAGTATATTTGCAAGAAAAAAAACTTTTTCTATTTTATTTTAGACCAAAAGTTACTTTTGTGACTGTGCTGATGGACTGAGAAGATTAAAGGGCCAATATCCTACATTTTTGGTCATTTTTTATTTAGTTTCACTTATAATTTGTGTGTGATTTGATGTACCAAAATGTCATGATTAATTTCTACATGATTATTTTCCAACCTCTTTTTATCCCTTAGAATTAAACTATCTGTTTTGTTACTGTACCTTTAAGACTGATATATGCAAATGAGCTCTCTTCTGATTGGCTGTCTTCTCTCACAAAGCAGGGCTGAAACATTCCTTATAAGTTCAGTGTAATCAGGCTGCGCTATACTGCTGTAGGCCGAATAGGTGGATGTATGTAAATGTTCTGGTTTTTGTGACATGACATCAGTTTCCTTATATGGACTGTGTGGAGTGAATGGTGCATATTGAAAGTTTAACAATGTTTACTTACTGTATCAAACTCAAAACAGTGTGTAAATTTCAGTTTTTCATGATATGGCAGTTTTATAAGTAACTTAAAAGTCACTTAGGATCCATTAAAAGGCCAATGTCCTACTTTTTTTCTTGTGTTTTACATTTCCCCTGACCTTTAAACGTACAAGGTTTGTGTGGTTTTATGTACCAATATCAGTCATCATTCAGTTCCAACCTCTCTTTTAAACAAACTTGTTTTGTCACTGCACCTTTAATACTAATACATGTAAAAGAACTCTGTTCTGATTGGCTGCCCTGTAGCATGCCATATTTAAAAACAGTCAAGGCTGAAACACTCCTTATAACTTTGGCATGAATGGAAGGGGCTGAACTGCAGTGGGCTGAAAGGTCAGGTACATGTAAATGAGTTCTTGTGACATCACAAAAACAATGTATTCTAAACAGCCTGTTTCCATGGAGTACAGAGTGACAGGAGTCCTTTAAACACTCTAGAAATTAAAGTCTTCCATTCATTATCACTTGACCACTGTAACCTATTTACCTCAAGCAACACACGTTAGATGTTTATGAGGCTTCCTAAACATCTACTCTAGCTTTCTGGCCCTGATTGAGTCTTGCATATTAATAATGTCCATGGTTTTGTTTGGGGATTCCTTCATTGTGAGGAGAGAACAATGTCTGATACGCAGTTTGGGAAATGTTGGAGGACTCCTCAATTTGTCTTATCAAAGCCATAGACGGTGCACTCTCCCCCACCCGCGTGTAAGCCATTTCCTTTCGCCGGCTCAATACATCACCTCATAAAAAGCTTTTCATGTGGTTAATCTCATCTCCCTGTTGCCAATGGGTTCCTTACGTGTGCCTTTACCCCCATAGACTCGTATGGCAGACTAAACAATCAGAGCAAGGGCACACATTGAAGTGATTCTGCCAGACGTATGATGCAATGGCAGAGCAATTTCGCTTTCAGGCCCCAGACCACTGCAGGAGGACAGAGGGGAGAGGAGAGAAGAGTCCAGGAGGGTGAATCAGAGGAATCCAGCTGACGGCGGCACACCTCTAATGCTGAGGAAGTTTTTAGGCGAACCAACAGTGCTGTGATCTGTGCTGACGAACAGCGAAAACACGACACTGTGGTCCCAGCTCATGCTTACACAAGCATTGTGTTGTGCCAATGTTAAAGCAATACTTCAAATGTAGACCTTTCACATGTGGAGGAATATATAACAAAAACCATGAGAAAGAAAACCATGTATCTCCATTTTTGTCAATTTTTATTTTTCTGCATCATTTCAATACACCAGCTGTCCTTTACGTTGTGTGAACATTTTATGATGAATGGTCCAATAGAAATGCTCTAAAATCATTTGGAATAACATATCTTAACATTAACTTACAGGTAAATGTTTTTTTGCCCTCTCCTGTAAAGCTGCTATTTTGGAGATACTTGTTTTTCTTTAGACAGCGATGATAAGTATGTGTATTTTAAAATGCATGTGCTTAATACATGTAAACATGGCATTTTTGAAATATATGTATGTGTATGTATGTCAACATATTGCATTGTACACACATATGTAGACTAAATATATGCAGTAGCCTTTACAGAACATGTGAATAAACACATGGTTTTTGCATACCTCACATGCTATTTTTCACATTCATGTGGAAATAAAAATGTGTTTTTATGTGTGATAACGTGAATCACGTCTCAAATGTGTAACTGCTCTGTAAGGGAACGTCAGTATTTGATACACAAGCATGTCACAAAATGTATGCAAATATCTTACAAATGTGATGCAGTTTGAAAAATATGGAGATGTCTTTATTTTGCTTACAAGTTTTCCATCTTTTCCATCTTCCATCGCATGTTTAGTGTCAGTATACAGCTGGGTCCTGGGCCCTGATCTGGCCCACACACTTTAAAGAGAGTAGAACTAATGGATGTGGCCCAAATCTGGCACAGCTACATTGTTGGTCCACAACATTCATTCCAGAATGGCCCCATAAATATAGACACAAAGCAAAAGCATATGAAGCTGTCCAGCATCTGGCCCTGTTCTGGCCCACATGTCTAAGATCTGCCCGGTAGCCAACCAATACTTGTGTAGGAAAGCCAGAATCGGCCCAAAACTGTCTGCTTTCTGGGATGCTAATGTATTATGCCAAGTATTATGGAAGTAAATGCTTAAATCAGCACACTTGCTTCAAACCATATTGAGTTATTAGCTACTCTTTAGTTGATTTGTGTGGTTTCTGACAGTAATCTATGAGCATGGCAGGATATTAGCATAGCTAAAAACATTAGCAGCTGTCCTGAAGCCTGACCATCTTCATATAACAGTGTATCATATAGTGTTAGAAACCACATAATCAAGTCTATTACTGAACAACTCGGCACGATTTGAGGCAAAAGTGACTGCAGATGCTAACTTGCATTACTTGTTAGCTACATTAGCCTCATAGCTCCATTGCAAAACTGAAGAAGCAGAGCTCTGATTCAAACATGTCTTAGCAGATTTGATGTAAAAGGAAAAATAGGAACTTTTTAAAAACATTTTAATTTTTTTTATCAATTCTTAATGCAAAAAAACAAAAGAAAATGTGCTAGCTAACATTCTAGCATTGTTACAGGCTGATAGAAATGAGAGAATGCTCTGACAGAGCTTTGTTTACTTCTAAAAAGATGGTTCTTCAAGGGCTCTTTAGTAAAGACAATGGTTCTATTTAGAAATATGCATTCAATACAGAACCATTTCATGCTTAAACAGTTCTTTGCATGGTGAAATCATTCTTCACAGTGATATTGTATATGGTTCTTTTGAAAATGGTTCTACAGAGCATGAAAAAGGGTTCTGCTATTGTTACGAGCTTGACATCATAACAATAGCAGAACCATTTTTGGTGCTCTATAGAGCCGTATAAAACACATTCTCCATAATCTGAAGAAACATGTAACCATTTAAGGTTGAAATGGTTCTAGTTAGAAATGGTTCTTCCTTTACTAAAGAACCCTTAAAGAACTGTGTTTTTTTAAGCATGTAGGTAAAACATCAGATGTTCTACTAAGCTATAGAGTTCCTGAAAGACAGAAACAAAAGAGTGAATGTTTCTGTATGTGGGCCTGCAGTGCGAGTCTACAGAGGAGGATCTGGTGGCTGCGTCTGGACTGTGAATTGGTGAGCCGTCTGTGGGAGAGGATCACATTCCATCCCCAAAGCCTACAGCAGATGTCAGCACCTCAGCCAGAAGGAATCTCTCTCTCTCTCTCCCTCTCTCTCTCTGAGCGTTTCAGAAGATTGGAATTCCGTCCCGTGTAGACACTACAATGTTTTGTGCTTTCTTGGTGGTCCTGCGAATCACTTTGATACCAGAAAAAAGCAGTCTGTAAACAGTGAAATTAAAACCAGTGCAGATTTTTGGGCTTTTTTAGTGAGAGGTCATTTTGCTGGGGCAGCAAATTCACCGCTATGCGTCTGGTCCAAAAATCATTCAGAGGACAAAAAAAAGGAGTCAAACAAAAATAAAAAATGCATTTCAACTGAAATGGAAGCCAAGTAAACAAACACGGTGTCACCCCCTATCCACCACAGTATCAATCTTGCAGAGGACGAC